ATCTACCCAATACTACCCATCACTTCATATCAGCTATAAAATAGTCGAATACTTAATAATAAATTAAATATTACCGGGTATCAAATGCCGATATATAATGGCATGTCTCCTACCACTCCACAGAGCAAAGTCTGAAGCCTTCTTCCTACTGAAGCTCCCTCACCACCAGACAATCCACTTAATTTAGAGGAAGGCTCATTAGGCTAGAAGAGGTTCCTCCAACATAAGGTAAGATTACATGCCGATATTTGGCAAACATTTGAGATCGAAAGATTCTAAAACATCTAGTATAACGTCAATAACCAAAATCTGAGAGATGAATTCTGATGAGAGAGGGGATTCATTTCAGCTTTACAAAACATATGTCTACTAGCTAGTTTTAAGACTCAGAACAGGCAGAGGCAGCTGAAGTGTGTCAAGGAAATTATAACTCTCACATTTTCTCTGAGAATATGGTATAAGAGAAATTATACAGCACCACCCCATGGACCAAAAGTGGATTAAAACATACTCCCCTAGTCCATTTTATCCAAACAAAAACTCTGAAAGTTCTTTACTTAAAACATTTCCATGTTGCCTTTGCATGTAAATAGGGTCCCCAAAGCAGTGAAGGTAGGTTGGCTGAGTGTGTGTGACTGATCCAAGGTCACCTAGCAAGCAGCCCTGGCATGGATTTGGCAGTGCCTAAATTTGGTAAGGACTGCATTGTTCGGAATTTTCTACTCTTGAAGGTCTTGTATGGTCTTAGTTCAACTCTCTTTTCGTGATCACACAATAAACACAGGAGAAATGGTCTTCATGTGAGGGAGAACACCTTCTTGCCAATAGAAAACCTCTGCTGCTATTCACCATGTCAAAGAAACCAAACCAAACCATGGGCTAGATGTGACCTCTAGTGTATGAGACTGGGAAGGCACAACACTTGTGAGGAGGAGGTGTTGCCCATTGGTAGCTCATCTGCTTTGCATGTAGAAGGATCCAGATTCAACCCCTGGCAGCATGTCCAGTTAAAAGGATCTATAGTTGTGGAAGACCTCTACCTGAGACCCTGGGGAGCTGCTACCAGTCAAAGTAGACTATACTGACCTTAACAGATCAGTGCTCTCTCTCGGTTTAAGGCAGCTACATTCCAGTTCATTTTATTGCATTAGCTCAAAGGCATAGCAGAACAAACAAAATGACAAGACAATCACGGTATCCAGTGTAATCCATAAAACATCCATTCAAAGATTAAAATACACACTAAATATTTAAAACAGAACCTTTATAGCAAAAGAAGCAGAATTCACAGTATCTTACTATTCCTACAGATTCAGGTGAAGCAACAGAACAAAACCTTTAAGACCAACAAAGTTTTATTCAAAGTATAAACTTCCATCCATCTCCTCCATGAGAGCATAACAACAGGTCTCAGTTAATTCCTCTCAGCATTCCACAATTAAGAATGGTACATTTACACATCCAAATTTGATATATTTGCTTCACTATTCCCCCCCCCCAAAAAAAAATTAAATTTAAACAAATGACAACCATATAAACTAAGCTTGTTATTCCTGTTTGGTCCTTGCATCTGTTAAACATCTTCATTAGGCTGCATGTTAATTTGCTGCTCACTTATATGTATGGACTGGTAACTTCCATTACAATGTATCTGAAAAAGTGTGTGTGCAAAAGAAAGCTTATACCTTGAATAAAACTTTGTTGGTCTTAAAGGTGCCACTTTGATTTTTTTTTTTACTATTCCTATGATAATGAGTGATTCAGGGTAAAGCTAGCGAACTATTCATTGACCAAAGTTGCATGAGAGGGTGTTGACTGTATTGTTATAACCCAGCCCACTAACTTTTCCAATTGTAGTGTTACCCATTTATCTCTATTTGCAAGTAATATCACCAGTTCCCAAGATATGTTTCACAGTCTACTGCAAATCTTGGGCACTGAACAATCGCATGAGACAGATCCTCAATGGACCTATAGCTGCAAGAGCAGACTTGCTCATTATATGGGGTCTCATTTTATAAGGACCTCTTACCATTGCCAGTTGCAAAGTGTCTGGATGTGCCTTAGTAAAGGCCATTCTATAACCAAAATCTGATAAATTACAATGAAATACTTCTTCACCCAAAGAGTGATTAACACAGGGAATTCACTGCCACAGGAGGTGGTGATGGCTACAAGCATGGACAGCTTCAAGAGGGAACTGGATAAACATATGGAGCAGAGGTCCATCAGTGGCTATTAGCCACAAGGTATAAATAGGAACTCTCAGTCTGGGGTAAGTGATGCACTGTACTCTTAGTGCTGGGGGGGGGTCAACAGTGGGAGGGCTTCTAGTGTCCTGGCCCCACTGCTGGACCTCCTGATGGCACCTGGTATTTTTGGCCACCGTGTGAAAGAATGTTGGACTGGATGGGCCATTGGCCTGATCCAACATTGGCTTCCCTTATGTTCTTAATAGGCCAGGAGAGTTAAAGGGGGGAGGGGGGAGGGACTGTTTATAAAGAAAGGCACTTTTCAGAGTACCTAGTAATCCAATATCCACTTGGACACTTATATCCAACAATCTTTGTTTTCTTGAGTATTTAGCTGCAAAGAAACCAAGCCTCCTTAGATATTCCACCAAGAATCCAAGTTTGGCCACTACATTCAGTATAAGGCAGCTACATATACACTAAACAATGTTCCATCTAATTTTTTTCCCTACTGAGCAGAGCAGTTCACATCCTGAGGAGACTATAACTGCTGTAATCTCAAAATGGGCAATGGGCAGTGCAAGACCCTGTGCGGCTCCAGATCGCTGCTGAGTGGGGCTACCTGTGTTCATGAGCGGCCACTCGCATGCACAGCTTAGAGGGAACACCGATTCTCTCTAAAGGATTTTTTTTAACGGAAACAAATATTTAAAACCAGGAACAAAATGAATGTGTTGGTTTTTATGTACTGTTCAGCCCAACAGTAAAGATCCTATTCCTGAGCTCTGTTCTTAGTACCTGCATCGGCTGGTATAACACAGATGGGTTAGCACAGATGAGTTTTTCAGCGGTGGCACCTCACCGTTGGGATTCTCTGCCTCTTGAGTTCTGTACAGTCTTTTTGGCACTAGGCTAAATTCTTGCTTATTACCTAGACTTTAAATCTTAAGCTGTTTTTGTGATCTCCTTCTGTCCCAAACACTGTTTCACGGATATTCTTTTAGGCTGCTCAATGCCATTTTATGTTTTAATATTGATAATTCCTATGTTTTTATTGTATTGCTTTTACAGTGTACTTCCTCAAGTTCCAGAAGGCAGCATATACATTTCCTAAATGAAAACAAAACCAAACAAAAACCAAACACAGGAGTAAACAGAAGCACAACTGTTGGGAGAAATTAACAAATTGTATTCCAACATGTATTGGCAAAAAGCCTAATTGTGCAGTAAGGTCCTTAGGTTGGATTTACACAATTGGGTCCCCCCCCATAACAGGGTTTTTTTTGTTTTTGTTTGTTTGCTTTTAGTAAAATGCATGCAGACTGTTAGTCCACCAACTAAATTCAGCTGGATGCACACCACGTGTGCACTGAATCTGTACCGGGGTTCCCAAAGTGGTGCCCACAAAGTGTTTTTAGAAAGTTGGTGGGGCCAGGTAGGGCTTTTTGAGTTTTTGATGCTTATGGCATAATGCAGACAGCAGCTGAGTGAAAATATTTTGGGACTTGGTTCTGACTAAATCTGACAGGGCTTCACAGCTAAAATACTTAACATGGAAACTTCTGTTGAAGTCCTCAGACCTTCCCAACCTGAATGTATTTTTACAATTTAGGTAGAAGTTGGTAACATCACTACATCAAATTCTGTTCACTTTTCCAAAACCATTTAAGTTCCTATCAACATCTGGCCAGAATCTCTACATGTGCCAGGAGCTCTCACCAGCCCTTCACCACCAGGAAGTCATTGTTATAAGTAATAGGGTTAGGTCACATGAAGACAGAGAATGCCAGACATCTATATTTTGTGTGTAGGGAAAATATTTTTATTTTTAGAAATATATTCATCTTAAAAGACAATATATTACTTTTAAGATGTCTGAAATGTTGAATCAAAGTGATGATGCAGAACTGCAACATTAACCAATATTACTAAACATATTAAGCTAAGGTAACACCTGCCCCATGATAGGAACCCACTGTCTTTATTGAGGCCTTAATAAGCTCCGGTCAAGCTTCCCATTTCCTAATTACTGAACTAGAATTCATCAGGAAGCTTGACGCCATTTCACTGGGTCTCAGTATAAAGACTGAGAGAACAAGGGTCGTCCCTCCCCCGCTGGAATGAGCCCAATGGCCAGTGTTGCACTATGCTGCCTGACATACCTTTCAAAAGAGCACTAGAAACTATGGTGGTGGTGGGAGATGACTGGGATATTCTGGGATAAATTACCCCTTCCCAATAAAGAACAACAGACCACCCCGCCATTCCTATTGCACACGCCTCTGGAACACTGCCCTATATATTGATCTCACTGGGACTTACTCCTGAGGAAACAAGCGCGAAGACCAGGCTGGAGAGCACAAACCGATTCCTAAGCAGCCATAACAAATATTAAGACTAAAAAGCAAACAGCCACATTCTTGCCTAGTGATCGTCACTAATTCAACCAGGCGGAACTTCGAACTCATGACCAAAACACGCCTTCGCTCTGTGCCCCGCTTCTCCGACGCCACTTCCACACCCCTCAACCCGCGTCTGCTCGATAAGTGCCGCCCCTTCCCTTCCCTTCCTTCTCATCCTACGACACGTCAGCGAAGGTTTGCTGACCCGGAAGTTATATTTTCCGCTGAAGCGTTTCTTGCCTTTCAGGGCTTTTATAAAAGCCACTTTTTTTTGAAAAAATCTCACAATAATAAATCCGACATTCTAAAATCCATTCTGCCCATAGAAAAAAAGGGGGAGGGAAGGCGTGTCGAGACATCGGAAGGACTCGTAGATCGAGTCGCCGGAAGTCCTGTCTTTATGGTTTGTGCTGCGTGTACACTGGCTGGCTTGTACGGAAGCCGCGCGGGGTCAGCGTGTGTCTTTCTTTCCGCCCGCTGGGTCAGTGTGGAAAGCAGCAGCTACAGGAGACGGCGATGGCTCCCAAGGGCGGCGGCGGCGGCGGCAGCGGCGGCGGCGGGGCTCGGCAGCAGTCTGAGGAGGAGCTGCTCTTGCAAGACTTTAGCCGCAATCTCTCGGCCAAGTCTTCGGCGCTGTTTTTCGGCAACGCCTTCATCGTATCTGCTATTCCCATTTGTGAGTAGGCAGGGGGAGCAGGCACGGCTGGGCAGGGCAAGAAGAATGAATGGGAGAAGCTTGGTCACCTGTCACCCTCTCCCTTTTTTGGGGGGGGGGCTGTTTGGTACGGCTTTGCTCAGCAGTAGAGCGCTTGCTTGGCATATTTAGACAGCAAGCCTAAAGAGGTCTACTCAGAATCCTATTCAGGATATTCAGTGGGGCTTACTTCCTGTAAAGTGTTCGTAGGATTGCACTGTAAAGATCCCAGCTTTAATCCTAGCGTTGCCAGCCTCCAGATGGGGCCAGGAGATCTCTAGACAAACAGAGATCAGTTCCTCGGGAGGAAATGACTGCTTTGGAGGGTAGACTCTATGGCACTGTGCCCCGCTGTGGTCCCTCCGCAAACTGTGCCCTCTCCAGGCTCCATCTCCCAAATCTCCAGGAATTTTCTAACCCAGTGTTGGCAACCCTGTTCAGTCCCCAGCATCGCCTTTTTATAAGCCCTGGTAATAGGTGATGCCGAAGAGCTGACCAAGAAATTTGCAGAGGCCCACAGTACATCTCACTTTCATAAGTTTTGTGAGGATTGCAGGATCCCATTTGTATGTTGTGCTACTTAGGGCTATTTATTTTTACATAATTTATGCTTTGCCTTTCTTACCAATGGTGACCCAAAGTGTCTTAAATTCTTCTTTCCTTAATTTGATTGTCACACCTACCTTGTGAGGTAGGTTAGATTGAGAGAACGTTACTGAGCCGAGGTTGCACAGCAAGCTTTCATGGCAGAGTGGGGATTTGAATCTGGGTCTCTCAGAAAGTAGCCCAGAACTCTTAACCACTACACCAGATTGGTTGTCCCTAGATCTAATAGAAGATCAAATATTGCATATATAATCTGGCATCCCTTTCTGTTCAGAGGTCTCCATGTCTCACATGGAGATAGGATGTCTTTCTCTAACCAGCTAGTTTCTGAGGATAGCCAGGCCTGCAGTAAAACATTTCAGTTCCGGTCTAGCCGGTCTAGACAGATTCTGTCTCAAGTGTTTGCAGCAGAGAGCTTTTCCAGTCCCTTTCTCTGAGATAGTCTGTGCCAAGGGTTGGTCCTGCAACCAAATATGCACAGAATATGCACTCTTGTTTTGAAATACAGGCCAACCTGCATGTGTCTGTGTTAGAGTAACTTAGGGGGAAATGGGCATAAGTGGGAAAGGAGTGTGTGCTTTCTGGAAAAGCAGAAATGGTGTGTTCTGGCTCAGTTCTGTTGAAGCTGGCCATGGTGTTTTTTGTTGTTGAAGTTTTTGTATAAACTAATACAATAAAATTTTGCAAGTGGCAAAAATGTTGTTCTGGTATAACTTTAGAAGAAGAGAAGAGATTGGATTTATACCCCACCCTTCACTACCTGAAGGAGTCACAGAGCGGCTTACAAACTCCTTTCCCTTTCCCTTCCCCTGCCCACAACAGACACCCTGTGAGGTAGGTGGGGCTGAGAGAGCTCTGACAGAAACGGCTCTTTTTCAAGAACAGCTGTGCCAGAACTATGGCTTGCCCAAGGTCATCCAGCTGGTGCAAGTGGAGGCGTTGGGAATCAAACCCCATTCTCCCAGTTTAGAGTCCGCACACTTAACCACTACACCAAACTGACTCTTACCACTTTAGTGGTGTTTAAAGGCAGAACAAAAAGAAGGAAAATGAATTCTTTAATACACCACTAGATGGCATTACTATTCCTTTGCTGTGTATTACCATGCTAGTTGATTGTGGTTTAAGTTTCTTTTAAAAAAGTCAAAATCAGCTGTGTGCATTATGTATATCCATGGTAATTTAGAAAATTGAAACATACACAGCTAGTTTTCATGGAATCAGATCACTGGGAACCCTTGGGAGCCATGTAGTTCAGGATTGTCTATCGTGGTAGGCAGTGGCTCTCCATACACAGAGAACAGTCTTTTCTGGGACCTGAGGTCTGTGGAAATGGCAGGGACTGGACAGCGGCCATGCAATGCCAGTTTCAAATCACCATGCTGCTGTGGAAGCCTGCTGGGTGACCTGGGGCCACTCAGACACTCTCAGCCTAACCTACCTCGCAGGGTGGTTGTGAGAAAATAGAGAATGGCCGTATGAAGTATGTCACTCTGAATTCCTCGAAGGCAGTATGAAATAAAAATGTACTAAATAAATAATAAAACTGCTGTTAGTTAATTGTGTTAAGAGGCTGTTCATTATGACTTTGGATGCATTGTTTGATTTTATATAAGGGTTTAAAATGGTGGTGTAAGGTTCCCAAGGGAACCATTTTAGGATGGAAGCCTGGTGTGTCTGTAGCCAATGCATATGTAGATAATGAAACAAGCAAATCTATCCATGAGTTCATCTAATCACAAAGGTGGTTCTTTTCACCCGCTGTCACTTTTATAATTACAGATTTGCTGTCTGAGCTGGATTGGCAGTTCATACACTCCTTACAGAGATTAAACCTGTTTTGACATTTTGGAAGCAGCCCACAGAAGAACAAAATTGTGCCATACTTTGTGACGAACATTGCATTACATTACTTCTTAAGTCTTTAAAAAAACACTCATTTTTTTCAAATCTTGTTGATGCCCAGGACCGTAGGAGCCTGTATATGTTAGAGTATATAACTACTGAATGTGTTATTTCTATGGAAAGTTGGGAAAACTCACTGAAAGATGTCTGATTTTGCTAACCTTTCTGGCATTGAATTAATAGGAAATGGTAATGTTTTGTATTTTTTTCTCCATAGGGTTGTACTGGCGGATATGGCATATGGACCTTGTTCAGTCTGCAGTCCTATACAGTGTGATGACCCTTGTCAGTACATATCTGGTTGCTTTTGCCTACAAGAACGTAAAGTTTGTTCTTAAGCACAAGTAAGCAGTTAGATAATTGGTTCACTTTTCTTTAGCCCTCGGGGCAGGCAATAATCCTGTTCCTGTAAAATTTACTAAAATGCAAAAAGGGAGGCACTCCTGTGGTAATCATCTTGGTGCTTCAGGAAGGCCTTCTATGGAGACTTCCGGTTGATGGCGGCGCGCTAGCAGACTCACCTCCCGGACCTCCTGGGGGTGAAGCTGTGCTCCAGCTCAAGAAGGGGGTGAGCAGGCTCGTTAACCCCCCCAGGGACCCGGCAAAGGGACCCTGGCCATGGAACTTATAAGAGGTTGCCTCTTCAATGGCGGAATGCCAGAGAATTGAGGTGCCTCTTCGTTCCGACGGTTCTCCGTGCTGAGAGACCGAATAGACTTATGTGACGCCGACCGGGGCAAGCGTAGGAGATCGAGCATCAGAAATGAAGCCGAAAGCGAGGTCGGAAGACCAATTATGAATGTGAGTCAGTTTTAAAGCATCTGTAAAGGAAAAAGATAGCTTCCCACCCCACCCCACTGAACGGGAAAAAGGCGAGCGGGGGAGGGACGCCTCCCATGTGCATGAACTTTTGAGATTTTGAGGGGGGGAGTGGAAGAAAACGCGAAGGAAACTCTAGAAGTACTTACCAAAGCGAGTTCAAGCGTTCAAGCACACATTCAGAGACTTTAAAAAAAATTGCGAAAGTAAACAAACGATAAAGATGGCGGGGAAGAAGGACAAATAATTTTTTTTGAAACCGAAAGGGACTGAGAGCCCGAAACCGGAAGTTACCAGTGAGTTGGCTAAGACCATAGCAGAATCCTGCACCCCCTGCTGGAACAGCTGAATAACTTCAAGGAATAAATGTCAACAATGACACAATGTATCACCTCTCAGCAAAATCAGATAAATGAGACTTTGCAAATGATGAAACAAAATACTGAGAAGGTGAATGAAATGGATGCAACGACCCAAAAGGTGAAGAAAAAAGTGCAAAAGCTGGAAAGGAAACAAATAATTGTCGTAAGATTCTCGAAAAGGCATGTGAGGGACACAATCCTGAAAGCAGTTTCTGGAATATCCCTGAAAGTGGGAGAGAATGCCATTAAGAGTTTTAAAAGACATTCCATTTGAAATAAGACAACGGAGAAAGAAGTATAAAGATCTCGTGCTTTTTCTTCAGACAAATTCAATTGGATATAAATGCCTAATTCCAGAAGGCGTCACCTTCAAAATCAAGGATAAAAAAGAAAAGATTGACTCTGTTCTGAAAGCTCGGGAATTTCTAAGGGTCCAGTTGGGAAGGCTAGAGGATGGGAAAAAAAGAAGGGGACAGTAAGTCTAGTGGCGAGCTGGACTCGGGTTCTTCTGGAGAGGACTCTCTGGCAGAGCAAGGGGCTGCAGCCCCAAAAAGTCCTTACAAGTTGCGGAAGGGATGGGGAAAGGAGAAGAGAAGGCTGAAGGACTCTGATTTGTGCCTTTGAGAACTTTGAAATGGGATGATTGGGGGGTACTGTTCTTAGACAGTTAAGTTTAAGATTTAAAGAAATAGGGTAAAAAGTACTACAAATGTTTGACTCAGTTTATAATGACCTAAAAGAAGGGAAGACTTGATGTAACTAAGCTATTGATGATCTCCTCTCTTGGGTTTTTAGGTAGTAGTGGGTTTCTTTACTTTATCCTGTAAATGTAGTTCCCTTCCCTTTTTTCTGTGTTAGTTTTGTAGTTGTATAAAAAATAATTAAAAATCCCCTCTGGGGGCTTAAAAATAAATAAATAAAGGAAGGCCTTCTATGGAAACAGCTGCAGCCCTGGAAGCTGGTTATTTCCCCTAAAATGTGGCATGTAAATTCCTTCCTTTGCAGAGTCGCTCAGAAGAGGGAAGATGCCGTTTCCAAGGAAGTCACTCGCAAGCTGTCTGAGGCAGACAACAGGAAGATGTCACGTAAGGAGAAAGATGAGAGGTAACGTCCTGGGCCGGTCTCTCGGGGGATCTAAACGCCATCCCTCTCTTCAGGAGGGTTTTGTGTTGGCTGGCAGCTGGTTTGATTCCCACCCTCTTGTGCTTACCTGGCTTTGCGGGGTTCTGTTGCCTCCGTCCAGCAGTGTTTTCAGTGTCACTTGGGCCTTAATTTGAGCTGCAACCTCTTTCCTCTGAAAGCAGTACTTGCGTAGGCTTGTCGCTCATCCCCCATTTTGTGAATGTTGCTGCATTAGGAGTACATTTCTTGAAGCGATTGTTGTTTCAAAAGAGTTTCTCAGCAGCACACTTGCTAATCCCTGCTGACTTGTGGGCAGTCATCACCCCCTGGAAGCTAAGCTTCTCATTCTTCATGAATGTCTGCAGTTGCGAGCGCAAAGCTTCGTCTTGCTTTATTAAAACCGGGGTTTGTGCCCCTTTGAGAGATGATAATGGACCTAACAGTGCAAAACAGAACCCTCGGAAGAGTGGCGCAGTCTGTCTACTTTGGGGAACCCAGCTCTGCTGCCAGTCAGCTTTCAGTAAATAACAGCTGGTAAAAATCCCGGGCTACGTGAGTTTGTTTCCTTGACCCATGTAAGTGCAAGTTCGGTGACTAGTAATGGTGCCATCCTAAGCAGAGTTTACCCTCTTAGAAGGATATAGCTCTGCTTGGATTTATTTATTTGGAAGATTTATCTTGCCCACCTTTCTCCTGTACAGTTCAGGAGCCAAGGTGGGGACGGTGCTCTAACAGGGCTATCCTGTGCAGAGCTGCTCCAGCCTAAGGCCATTGAGACCAGTAGGCTTACACTGGAGTAACTCTGCATAGGAGGGCACTGTTGCAGGCTTTTGCTTGTTCTCTCAGAGCAAAGCCTGGAATCGCCTGTTTTGTTTTTTGTTGCTGAACTGGCTGCACAGAAAATCCAATTTAAGTGTATTAAACTTTGCTCATCAGGGATATGTATCTGTATCTTTTTAATTTGGGTGGGAATGGGAAACGATTCCCGCCGGCAAAGAATTGGTGTGCACCTCATTTGTTATTAGCCTGGAAAGGGTTGAAGATGCCTCTTCTGTTTGCAGAATTTTGTGGAAGAAGAACGAAGTGGCAGATTATGAAGCAACCACGTTCTCCATCTTCTACAACAATACTCTCTTTCTGGTCTTCATTGTCATCGCCTCATTCTTTGTGCTGAAGAACTTCAATCCCACCGTGTATCCTTTCTCCCCCCAGATGTGCAGAGGACTCTTAGGATGGGTTACATAAGCCTCGCATGTGGCCTGTTTAGATTCTTGTAATGGACAGAACTGCAGGGCCCGTAACCCTTATAGTACCAGCACAGGTTGACTCAGGCAGCTCCAGGAACAAACAAGTTGTCCTTGTCACTGTAATTATGCAAAATTGGCACTGCGAGGCCTTGGCCAGTGAGCCGAGCTACCTCCTACAGGGAAAAGCAGAAGCAAAGAGCTCTTCAATCCACCGTTCATCCATCTCATGACTAAGAATAATAGGAATAGGTTCCTAGTTCTCACATTTCTGGTCTTATTTTCCCAGAAGTATTTTTTTTCCTGATAAACTGCATCCTATTTCAGCTGCTGCGGCTATGTAGTTTCCCAGAAATGCCTTCTGCCTTTGTACAGCCTGCGGTAGTCTCCTAAAGGATGGGGTCTGGGCTGACTGGAGCTGTTGGGAGGAAGGAGCCAAATAGAAGCAGAGCAGGCATCAAGAATGGGGCCTTAGTGGCACCTGGGAAATGTGGACAGGAGTGGACCAGTAAAGCTTCTTACCTAAATTAGAAGCTGGGCACTGAATTACAACTTGCTGTTGAGGGGGGTTATCACATGGGAACGTGGACCCCCCCCAAAATACCTTAAATAAAATATTTTAAAGTTAAGCCATTGAAGTTGATGGGTACAGAAGGGTGTAACTGAAGTTAGAGATTGCCCCGTCCAATTCGTTTCCCCAGTTATAGAATGAAACTGCATCCATAGGGTGAGTGAATTTCGTATGCGAGTGATCGCTCAAATGTTCCTGTTTTGGAGCAGATCTTTCATGAAGATCCCTGTATAACAGGTCTAGAGCTGCTGCAAGAAATGAGTGAAGCCTGGGCACAGCAGCTGCCTTTTTGAGGCTCGGTTGCTTAACCACCCCACCACCCCCACCTTTGCATGATGACACAGCTGCTCTGGGCTGGGGTCTGTTTACCAGAATGTGCAGGTATGCACACACATAAAAACCTCATTCCGGGTGCAGCTTAACGTGGCACTTTTTGGTTCCTGTCAGCCTGTTTTCATCGGTAAGGGAGGCTGTTCGGTGGGTCCCCCAGCAGGGAGAGCCTGCCTTTCAGCTGCAGAGGTGCATTGCTTAATTGGGCCTGTAGGACTGGGCTGTTGGGTGCTGGAGAGCAGCTAATTTTACAGCTGGGCCAGTGAAGGAGACGGCAGGGTGGGTGGCCCATCTTCTCAAAACGAGTGTGTCGGTCAGTCCCTCTGCTTCACTTCCCTCTTCGTTCGTATAGTGGCCTGGATGCAACAGCAGATTTTTGTAGATGGGATTTCTGTTCATAGAATGGGACTTTCCTGCCTCCTGCCTCCAGTCCAAAATGACCTGTGAAGCACTGCATTTGGAGGGTGGAAGATCCCCAGGAAAAGCATAAGGAGTCAAAGGAAAGGGGAACCAATGAGAATGCTCTCCCACCCCAGACGTGACAACTCGTGGTGGATCCAAGCTGTACTGTCTTACAGAGACTGGCTTTGGTTCTGGGGCTGCCAATTACGGGGCCACCTTCTAAGGGTATAGCAATCCCAATAGGTGGTGAGTGTGGGCCAATATTCTTTTCCCTTTCGGTGTCTGGGGTTTTTCATCCTTGACATGCCTCCCCCTCCAGAAATTACATTCTCTCCATCAGCGCTTCGTCCGGACTGATCGCTCTGCTCTCTACTGGCTCCAAGTAGATGGAGGAGTCTGGGTGGGTGGATCCGATCCACTCCCACAAAGGCATAAAAAATAAGGTGGTGTTGGCCTTTGCACAGCTTGAAAAGTTGAGAAATTAGTTTCGTTTTTTAAACATGGATATGGAAGGAAATGTATGTTCTGTTTTCTTGATGAAACAGATGCTACAAAAATGACTATACCAGATATTGTAAAAAGCTTTTGATAGTTAACATTTCTGCGGTATCCCAAGAATATCAAGTGACTGTCACAAGACCTGCACCTGGAGTTCTGCAAGAGGAATATTTGTAAGAAATATTTTGTTACCTTTCAGTAAAAGGAACCTTGTTTTGCCGTAAGGAGTGACCATACCTCTTGAATGTTTTGTAACCATGTTTGAATAAAAGCATTTCAAGAATGTGTCGCCTGTTAAGCTTTTCCACGTATAGATAGTGGCACATATCCTACCATGAATGAATGTGCTGTTTAGTCACAAGTGACTAATGGGGACCTCAAATATGGGGTGTTCAAGGCGAGAGATGAGCAGAGGTGGTTTGCCACTGACTTCCTCTGCATAAAGGTAAAGGTTCCCTTGCTCGAAAGCCAGTCGAATCCGACTCTAGGGTTGCGGTGCTCCAGCGCTGTCCGAAGACATTTCCGTGGTCATGTGGCCGGCATGACTAAACACCAAGGTGCACGGAACGCTGTTACCTTCCCACTGAAGTGGTACCTATTTATCTACTTGCAATTTCTTGCTTTCGAACTGCTAGATTGGCAGGAGCTGGGGCCAGAGACGGGAGCTCACTCCGTCATGTGGCACACTCGGGTCTCGAACTGCTGAACTACCGACCTTCCACAGCTGAACTACCGACCTTCCACAGCGTCTTAACCACTTGAGCCACCGCAGCTCTGCATAGCAACCCATTTTTCTTGGCCTCCCATCCAGATACAGACCATGGCCAATCTTCCTTAGTTTAGCAGGTGTCTACTATCTCCCCCTCCCCCCCCCCCCCCCCCAATTTTCCTGGGAAGCTGTCTTAGAACACAACGTTTGTTATTGGAAACAAACCCCTTTCAAATGAAAACTTTAAGGAAAAGAGAAGTTGTATTTTTCCTGTGTTGCATACTTCAGCTGGCAGTATGTTAATAGCCACTGGTAAAATGCTGTCTGCTGGATATCTCATTATGAGGCTTTTAAAAAAATTGTTTTTAGCAACCAATTACTAGGTTGCTTGTTTTCTTTTGCAGCATGCATTTTGCATAACATGATTTCCTCCACTGGGAGAAAAAGGCAAATGAATTTATTTAGCATCTAGTGAATCATAAGACACAATGCTATTTTAAATTCCATCAGTGCAGGCTCACCCCCACCCCGCAAATGAATGGAGCCAAGTCGTGATCAAGTCAGGTGCACAAAATGCCTTTATTATGTCCAAGCAGAAATCAAAGGCAGAAAGCAGTTGCTAGTATACAGCTGTTTAAATTCATTTATACAGGCCAATGACTTGATTAAACATGAAAAGGAAAAATTTAAAATACCTGCTGTCGTCAAACTCTTTTCAGATGTTTTTCAGATGATAGGTTTGAAAGGAAGGGGCATGCTGGATAGAGGAGTTCTGATTCATGAACTTCGCAGGGAGGGGAGGTTCCCCTTTTTGCCCTCTTGTGAGAAATAAAACGTTCCTTGTCTTTACTGTCCCTACGGCCTGCTCTCTCTGCTTCAGTCCTAGGGCCCCAAAAGTGTTGGTAGCTGTGTTGGTCCATAAGGATAGATCAAGATGGGTAGCCATGTTAGGCTGTCTGTAGCAGCAGAAAAGAGCAAGAGTCCAGCAGCATCTTAAAGACTTAAAATTTGTGGCAGGGGAGGAGCTTTCATGAGTCACTGCTTACTTCTTCAGATACCTATCTGAAGAAGTGAGCATTGACTCACAAAAGCTCCTCCCCGGCCACAACTTTTGTTAGTCTTGAAGGTGCTGCTGGACTCTTGCTCTTTTCTATTGAGCCATAATAAAATTCAAAACCCATGTGATCATCATAATGGTATAATCAAAGCTGTTATGTGGATTTTGGTTTTTTCATCCAAGGGGCAAATCTGTGTATGTAAAAGAAGATCTTGCTAGTTCCACCGAAGTAAATGCAGACAGCTGTTTTCAGGCAGGGAAATGACTCTGCGTATGTTCCAGATCTCTGGCATTCAGACTCGATGACTGGTGTGGGCCCTTGTGCATAATGGAAGATCGGTTTCGAAGTATGGAATGTGTTCAGCAAAGCTTCCTTTGTGTAGGTGGGGCTCTGTACTATAGCTGTTTGCCCTAAGCCAATAAAGGCGATCTGTGTGCAAGTAGAAGTTCCTCTTAGGAGTTCCTGCTTCTGAATCCAGACCTCCCTCTATTCAGAAGTGGTGTGCTACTTCCCTGATTGGTGGTCAGGGGCAATGTTCCCTCTAAGCTGAGTTAGTGTGAGCTAGCTCACGGTTTTTGAGCCTCTGGCTCACACATTTTTGTCTTAGCTCTGGAAGAATGGCTCCAGAACAAACCAATTTATGCAGTAGCCAAATCACCTGCTCACAACTAATGCCAGTAGCTCACAAAGTAGAATTTTTGCTCACAAGACTCCACAGCTTAGAGGGAACATTGGTCAGGGGTTCCCTTTTCTCTGCAACAGGTAATCTGATTGGCTACTAGCAGGGCTTTCTTTCTGGGGGGACGCACCAGAATGGAGTTCCAGAACCTCCTTGACAAAATTCTTTTAAAAATGTTTAAAAACTCATGAGTTTTCAGTATACAGACTGAAAACTTCATTTCCCTCATGAGAGTGCCTGCACCTCCCCCCACCCCCCAAAAGCCCTGGCTACCAGGGATACATTCTGCAACGTGTTGAAAAAGGGTGTGGAGGAGTGGAATTCTTAACACATCCGGTATTCTGTCTTGGGCCCAATCTTGGGTAAATTCACATAGCCTCCCTTTCGTATACGAGGACTGGTGGGGGGAGCCAAGAATGGAGAAAACTGCTTGGAGAAATAGATGAGAAGGGTGGGTAGGTTTAGTGCACCTTTCTTGCCAAACACCTCTTATGGTTCCCCTCCCATCATGTTCATTTTTACCTTCACGAAGTGGCTGGCCGCCTGGTTACCAGCTGATGAACTGGGATGGTCTTACCAAAGCCTCAACAGCTGTAGGGAGAGGCCACAACTGCATGCAACTAGAACAATAGTCTTCTAATCAACCAACTTCCAGAATAGTGAGAGTCAGGCAAACTAAAGACTGCTCAGTTGGTACAAGTTCCATTTCAGTGAGGGGGAAAGGCCCTGAGAAGATCTGCGTGGACCTCAGACCAAAGCAAGAGACAACTCTAGTGGCCCACAGCTTCATAACCTCACTAGATGGGAACATGACTAGTGGTTGTCAGTGGTATTGCCTTGGACCAACACACATCTTCCAGCCTGTGGAATAGGAAGGGGTTTTAGAATATACACAGAGATGCAAAGAGCTAGAGGCACACAGTAATGGACTCTATAGGCCAATCGCCAATCAAACATAACCATGTGACTAGTAGCAAGAAGCCATAGAGATTAGGGTGGTACAGCCAATCTTCCCATCCACTTTGTGTTGACTGGAAGTGTAGATTTGCTTGACTCCCTCTCTGTGATGCACACAGGCTTCTGTACACGAATTCTCAGCGCATGGCAGCTGTTGTTTTATGTCAGCTCGTGCTGACTTCCGGCCATACTTCCACATATGCACAGTACTGTGCAATGAAGCTTGTAGCATGGCACTGTGTGTGCACACTTGAAGACCTAGTCCTGTCCTGTCTGCACAGATTTCACGTACCATTGGTATGTGCCCTGCTTGGGAAGTGTGACTACTAAGCCCCACAGGAGTACTGAAAGCCATGGCAACCCCTGCTGAAATAAGACATACAACCCAGGCTAAGGGGGTGGGGAAGCTCTAACATGGGCTGGGATACTAAGTTATAATGAACTGCTCACAAATTGCGTTGAGCGTTCTTGGGGAAAACCCCCATGTTGTATAAGATGCCTGCACAAAGAACGGAAAATGAAATTCACCTATGTGGATATCTGGTCTCCAGGAAATTGTACAACAGCTCTGCACATTATTTACATTAATTGTACATTATATTAAGTAATAAAAGTTGCAGCAGCTACCATCTACAAGCTACCAAAAGTAAAGCAGGCTTTAAACAGAGAGGGGCTCTTGCTTGCAGGCTTCTGGTTTCCATTTCTGCATTTTTATATTGATTTTGAGTTACGTAGCTAATATTCAGTTGTTCTCTCAGCCTGTTCCCAATCGTGTGTGTTTAACAGTTCAATCTGAAGCAGAGTTACACAGTGATCCCAGAAGACTGTGTTTAGGATTGCATGGCTAGGGGCCAAGCCGTGAGAGAAATGGCCTGGAGGTGGCAGCAAAGCATAATCCTGGTTGTGCTGGCGGGGAGGGGGGGTTGCAGACTGAAGGTACTGGAGTGGCGAACTCACGGAGGTCTAGTGGCTTAAGGGGCCAGCCAGCGAACTCAAGTTTCACATACACCTTGCCAGAAATGTAACTGTAGGTCCCATTTTACCACACTGGGTAAGTGTCCTATCACATTCAGTGGGACTTGCTGCTATCACTTGAGGTCTTCAACCTTGCCACTTTTCTGACTAGCAGTAAAAGTAATGGGTATAACCCAGTCAAAGTTGAACGCTCAAAGCTGCCTTAGTCAGATCACTGGTCCATCCAGACTAGTATTGTCTTCTCTGGCTGGCAGCAGCTCTCCAGTAAAGGATTTTCACGTCAGCTACAACTACTTCATTCTTTTAAATGGCAATAGTAGGGACTAGAACCCGGGACCGTCTGCCTGCAAAGCGGATGCTCTACCACCAAATCACAGCCCCATCTATGTTAAGTGCTATTTATGTCAAGGGGAAAGTTACACACACGCTGGAATGTGTCTAATTTCTTAAAGAATGTGGTTTTGCCAAGCGCAACCTAAAATCAACTCAGAAACTAACCTGTATAATACCATAATTAATTTCCTGACTTTAAACAGTAAGCCCTTTGGTAGCTGAAGCCCAAAGCTGAAACTCACTTCAGCATTAAAAAAAGGCAAATTGGGGGGGGGGGGGGATCTGAATTTGCTCACTGTTGAAATAAACTTTGAAAATCTTTACACTTGAAAATGGTCTGTTGCATGTCTTTTATCCTAAGCCTTTACCTGTGTCTGACTTTTGTTCTTTGAAAAAATATATCTGTACATCCTTCTTTGAATTCCCAAGTACCTAATGCTTGGAAATCTTTATTGTTTCTTTACATGTGTATTTTCACTGCATAAACTGGAAGCGGCAAGAGGGAGAATAAACGGAGCACAATCCAGTGGATCCTGCACCACTACGTTGAATGGCAGCGCTGCTGTGCGTGTCTCATTCATCTCAACGGGGCTTGTGTAGCAGCCCTTCCCTCTGTGTGGTGCCCTTTGGCTTGAGCTGGAGTTGAGTCAAAAAACTCTGAGGACTTGAGTCAAAAGAAAAGAGCAAAGACTACCTCAGGCGACCAAGAGATGAGCTGTGCTTTCTGCGTTTGGGCACAGCACACACCCCTGAAGAATCCAGGGAACGAAAGGGACTGCTTGAATAAATTCTCATTATAACAGGATAATTAGTACTGCCTCAGTACTGTACTACGTACAGAGCGCGATTTTAGCCATGCAGTCCAATTCAGTCATGCAATGCATTAGGATCGGTAGTCTTTCTTGCTGTAAGGTTTGTTCCCCAAAATATTATCGATTTCATTCACGATGTGGGATGTCATCTTCGGAAGAACCTGCAGAGATAAAACAAGAGGTTTTTACTTTGGGTGGAAAGGGCTGTTCAGTTGCAGCTGACTCATGGTGATCCCATCCGCGGGGCTTTCCTGGCAAGAAATAAGCAGAAGTGGTTTGCCATTGCCTGCCTTGGTGTTCTTCCATCCAAGTACTAATCAGCACTGGCCTGCTTAGCTTCTGAGACAGCCCCGTAGCCAAGAATTTCTTCCTGTGGAGGGGGGGCTACGGTGCACCGGGGCACGCTAATTAAATTAAATTTAATTAAAGACACCTCCAGGCCTCTTTGGGGGGGGGGGCAAGACAGCAGGGGGGGGGCAGAGAGAAGCCGCATTCAGAGAGCTGCATTCTCACCCGCCCCCACTGCCGGCTGGGGAAACTTACCTTGTGGACAGTCTGTTCCTTTCACCACCCTCTCCTCCATGATGCATGGGCTCAGGGGTGCTCTCTCCCTCCCCCCCCTCCCCAGCAGGTTGTCCTCGTCTACCCCAGCACCTTCAAAGAGTGCCTCTTCCCTTCCCGTGGCCATCAGAGGCTGGATGGGCGTGCAAGTCCTGTCGGCAAGCAGGCGATCAAGTGCCCAGGAGAGTGGCTAGGCTGGCGGGGGTGTCTCCAGCTCAGCTGATGTGAGGCGGCCCCTTAAATAGGCGCCACAGTGGAAGCGGGGCTGGCAGTGACGGGCTGCTGAGCTGGCTCACTCGCCGGCTTGCCAGTGCCTGGGCGGAGGCAGCGGTGGGATGGAGCTGTGGGGCTCCGCCTTAACCACAGGGGGGCTCCGCCCCTAAAGCCCCACCACTGGCTACGGCCCTGTTCTCAGATCTGAGGAGATCGGGCTAGCCTGGGCCATCCAGAGCAGCATGCGTTTTACAGTTGCTCCAAGGAAGCTTGGACGCTGCCCAAAATCTGAGGTTTGCCATAAGAAGGGTGGCAGTGGCAAAAACGCCCTCCTTTGCACGTGTGGATATCTGCCTAAGACAAGCTGCATTTTGTGATATTTCCAAAATGCAAATTAAACGTCTCTGAATAGATTTCCATCCCAGGGTCTCTTAACTCTGTGTCTGCTAGTCAATGCAGAGTGGTTTGGTACTTGCCTGTATGGCACCGAGATTCTCTATTAGTTGCTCTGGGTTGGAAGATCCTAGGAGAACCGAACTCACACCCTCATTGCGTAGACACCATGCTGGAAACAACAGAAAGTGCACTGCTGTTAGGGTCATCGCTTGACATCAGAGAAACACGCGGTTCGAAGTCTCGTCTCTCCCACTGTTGGATTCTTGGTGACGGACAGTTCTGGACACAGGGAGCCGTCTGCTTCAGCACACTGGTCACCCAAGAGCTGTCTGGAGCCTTTCAGCACTGCTGTGATGATGTTGCTAAAAGTCTGCAGGACCAAGCTACACACACTTTAAGCCTCAGGAGGGGGAGTGCTATGGACACCTTTCTTGTCCCCCTACTTAAGACAGCCAAGGAGGGAAGGCTTTTTCAGTCGGGAACAGTGTTAGAGGAGAGTTAACCTGCTTTCTCTTGAGCTGTGGTCCCAACCCATGTTGCCCCTCCTCCTGCAGCCTCACATGTGGTTTGGGTCTAAAATTAGAGTTGCCAGTCTCCAGGTGGTAGCGGAAGATCTCCTGGAACTACAACTGGTCTCCAGGTTACAGAGATCAGTTCCCCTGGAGAAAATGGCTGCTTTGGAGGGCGGACTCTATGGCCCCTCCACTCTCCAAACCTCACACTCCACCACCACCACCAATGGGGTGGGTAACAACCGTGTAAGAGGACGGCCCTTGAAGATCTGCCATGAGACCGAGCTGGGTTGGTACCACTGGACTGGCCACATTTCAGCTACAGGACACTATCTACCTCCAATGAAAGATCCGGCACCTACCGTTGGAAGACCATCTTGTTCTTTATAGAGCACTTTGCTTTGTGATTCGAGGATTTTATTTTTGTTTTAAGTTGTTTTAATCTTGTTTTATATGTGGGCATTGTTGCCCTCTTGTAAGCCGCCCTGAGCCCGCTCACGGGGAGGGCGGGGTAAAAATACTAATATTTTTTTAAAAAGCTCCCTGGAGGGGTCTCCAGGAGTTTCCCAACCTGGAACTGGCAGCCCTGTTGCACCATGTGTGCTGGAGAACTATTCTACTTTTCTTATGCCCCATTGCATATCTTCCACCTTTTGAGCATAATGATGCCCACGGTTTGGCATCTGACAATTGCCAGGTCTCAGGGGAGGTGTTTTCAGTAGCTCTGCCTGCCTTAGGAGCTGCCTGTCTCCAGGTGTCTAAACCTTCTAAGCCTTCAATTGAATCAGAAGGTGGTGACTGGGTTTAGGATTGCACCGTGTAATAGTTCTATTCAGACAAGTCATTTCATGTAAAAATTGTTACATGAAGTCTTATTGATGGTCTTGATTTAAACAGTTAATGCTTGATTGGCTATATGAAAGTCCCTGTGATGTAGAAAGTTGCCTGAATCTGATATGCAGCTTGAATTAATAAATTACTTTTGTTAATGTTGTCATGTGTGATGTCCCTATCATGTATATGTATTGTATACATGTATAGGATTGTCTCACCACGCATGATGATTTTTACACATGATGTTCATTTTGTGACATGAAATGGGTCTTAGATAGTAGAAAAGAGCAAGAGTCCAGTAGCACCTTAAAGGTAAAGGTAAAGGTTTCCCTTGCTCGAAAGCCAGTCGAATCCGACTCTAGGGTTGCGGTGCTCATCTCCGTTTCAAAGCCGAAGAGCCAGCGCTGTCTGAAGACATTTCCGTGGTCATGTGGCCGGCATGACTAAACACCAAGGCACACAGAATGCTGTTACCTTCCCACTGAAGTGGTACCTATTTATCTACTTGCAATGCCTTGCTTTCGAACTGCTAGGTTGGCAGGAGCTGGAACTAGAGACAGGAGCTCACTCCGTCATGCGGCACACTCGAGTCTCGAACTGCTGAACTACCAACCTTCCACAGCCTGCAGTTCAGCGTCTTAACCACTTGAGCCACCGCAGCTTAAAGACTAACAAAAATTTGTAGCAGGGGATGAGCTTTCATGAGACACTGCTCACTTCTTCAGAGAGCTCCTACCCTGCCACCTTTTTTTAGTCTTTAAAGTGCTACTGGACTCTTGCTCTTTTCTGCTGCTACAGACGGACTAACATGGCTACCCACCATGATATGGTTCTTAGTGAATGACAAGGAGGGGTTTCTGTTTTCTCCTGACCTTTCTCCAAGAAACTGAGGGTAGTAACACGGTTCTCCCTTCCCTTTTTAAAGTAGCTTGGCTGAGAGGGAATGACAGGCCTAATGTCACCTGATATGTTTTGTGGCTCCAACCTGGGTCTCCTTAGTTCTAGTTTGACACTAACCACTATGTCCTCCTGCTAATTCCATTTCTGGCTCACACAATTGTTTTGCTAGCCCCACATGCAATTAGTCTAGTCATCTGATGTCTAAAAGGAAAGAAGTGCTAACTTCTGTAAAGCTCTCTTGTCAGACAGCCAGTGTGGTACAGTGCTTAGAGCATCTGACTAGGATCTGGGAGTCCCAGGTCTGAAGTCCCTCCTCTGTCATGGACATCCACTGGGTGACCTTGGGCTAGTCACTCTCTTCCTGTTGTGTCCTGGGCAATGTTCCCTCTAAGCTGTGGAGTCTTGTGAGCAAAAATTCTATCTTGTGAGCTACTGGCATTAAAGTTGTGAGCAGGTAATTTGGCTACTGCATAAATTAGTTTGCACTGGAGCCATCCTTTCTGAGCTGAGACAAAAATGTGTGAGCCGGAGGCTAAAAAACTGCGAGCTAGCTCACACTAACTCAGCTTAGAGGGAACACTGGTCCTGGGCCCAGCTTCGACTGGCCTAGCTTGAAACCGAGAACAACAGTTTGCTAGGATCCTGGAAGGAACCTATAGACCAGGAGCCACACTGTAAATAGCCTATCACGGGTAGTGGGTGTGGGGTGGGGTGTTGTGCACGGATTTAAACAGGGCTTCGGTTCTGCTAGTTTGTCTTAGTTTTGAGCTGATTCACAATAAAGTATGAGCTGATCACTAATCGCGTGTCGAACCCAGTATATTTCACTTCCTCAGCCTTGAGGAGTGGTTATTGTGTGGATAAAACGGAAGAGGGGAGAACGAGGAAAGTCGCTTTGGGCTCCCTTTGGGGGAAAAGGCAGATTATTAATGATGTAAATAAGCCAAGAGGCCATCCTAAATTTCCACAGAAAGTTTGTAATAAAATACAAATGTTTTTTTTTTTTTTTTAAAGAGAGGGTGATGGTTTTTGCTAAACCCTTCCTCCCATTGCAGATTAATGTTGCCTACTCTAGGCTGAGAAATTCCTGGAGATTTGGGGGTGGATCCTGGGAAGAGTGGGTTTTGAGGACAGGAAGGACCTTGGTGGGTATAACGTCAATGAGTCCACCTTCCAAAGCAGCCCTTTTCTCCTGCGGAACAGATCTATGTAGTCTGGAGATAAGTTGTAACGCCAAGAGATCTCCAGGCCCCATCTTGAGGTTGGCAACCCTACTCCAGACCTCTTCATTCCGCACTGTCCATGGCATTCCCTGTCACCCAGGAGCGGCATTTGGGGAAACTCCATGGGCTGCAAGCAGGACAGGAGAAGTGAGAAAGTACGGTTCTGCTGGTAGAAGTGATTTCTACCATCAGAAAACAACCTTTTGATTCTTCACCCTGTGTTATTTCTTTGAAATGGTGCCAACCTGCTCTGAGCCTTAGAGGACACAGCTGGTTAGGAATCTAAGCAAACTAAATAGCTGCTGCAGCAGCAGCAGCAACAACAGCAAAACTTGCTTGGACACTGGAGGTGGTGAAAGGTAAATTAACCCCTCTTCTCTGCAGTTTGTTTCCAAGACACGCTAGATCTGTGAAACTTTCTATGTCAACAAATTCAGGGTTTGCCCCAGATTGCAGATTAGGATGAATTTTTCCCATCAGTGATTTGCAGAACTGATAAATAGGCTCTCCAGCCTGCGCCATCTGATTTCTTAAGTTTGTTCTTGCATTGGCTGCATTTGTGGATTTTTTTCTTTTTTCTTTTTTCTTTTTAAAAAAATCACCTGCCAGGGCGAGGAGTGATGTCCCGAAGGTTATCTGAACTGTACGGGATCATTTATCTCCCATGCCGTCAGCTGCATGCAACATTTAAATGGTGTCTTCAGCACGGCAAGGAGAAGACGGCACAGTTAAAAATGATTAATGGCCCCTCTTGAATTCCTGTGCTGTGTTAGCTATACTGGAACAGCCTGAGTCAATCAAGGCACAGCTGTTAGGAAGGAACTATGCTACAGGTGGAAGCCTGTTCATGATTATTTCACAGTAATCATCAAATTTGTTCCTATTGTCCATAAAAAATGGATACTGTTTACGTACAAAGCTGAGGTAGTCATTAGTTTTTTTAAAACAATATAGCATTCAGTGGGGTGGCTTGATAACAGATTTTGATGCATTCTGTAGAATTATCTGATGTACGCTTTCAGCACTTTGGGAAAGTCACCATTTTTGCCACAGCAGCAATGGGATGGAAACAGATCAGGCACAGAGGGCCGGCATGACGGAATAGGGCAAGGGTGTCAAACATGAGGCCTGGGGGCTGGACGCAGCCCGTCTAGGGCTCTTACCTGGCCCGCGAGCAATTGGAATGAGGGAAGGAAACAGGAGGCTGCTGGGGGGGGGGAGGCAAACAGGCTCATGTGTTGAGGTGTTTGTGTGTGGCTGAAGCTGTCAAGAAATAGAAAGGAAATGGCTAGGGGGTGGGGCTAAGTTCAAATAGCGTGGGGGTTATGGAAGCGAAGGCAAAGAAAGAGGAGTTGTGGTGTTCCTGTAGTGTCCGCGGACCGCCACCGGAGGTCAGCGCATATGCCCTAGCTTCAGTCCGAACAACAATAGGGACTAGGATCCTAGTCCCTCCTCTGGGGAACCAATGGGATCCGTGGCGGGAGATTTGAACCCACCAATGGTGACCAGGGGCGGTCCCCAGGTGTGTATATAGTTGGCCTGCCGGCCGTTTATCTCTCGTCTTTGTTGTGTGCTAATAAAGCGTGCTATGCACCACGTCGTTGTCTGTCGTTCATCCATGCGGCTACCCACTACATAACAGTGGCGACGAGGATGGGATCCAGCCGCAACTGAGCCAGGCCGTCGCGAGGGACTAGGAG